GAACTCTTGGTCTTTCTCCCAAAATTTTGCTCCTGGAGGTAGTTGATAGCTTCACCGTCCCTACTGTTACTCAGCCCATAAAAATAGAAATCGTCCTTAACAGCTCTCTTGTTCTCATACCTATACTTCTAATCATTAGAAAATTCCTGTTGTCTTTACCTAAAAATATATCCAGAATCTAACCAATTCTCACCATTCCCCTGCTAACACTATGGTCCAAGCCATCTTCACCTTGTTCCTGGATTAGCCTAATAGTCTCCTTACTGGCCTCGCTGCTCGTACACTTTCATATTTGGAGTCTATTCTCACCACAGAAGCCAGGGTGATCCCTCAATAGGTAACTCAGTCATGTCTTTATTCTGCACACACACACACACACACACACAAACTGACTACCCATTTTATCCAGAAGAAAAGCCTACAAAGGCATACAAAGCCAGTACCTAGTGTCTCTCTGACTTCATCTCCAACTACTCTTCCTCTTGCTCCCTTCACTCCAGACTCCTCAGTCTGTTTGCTGTTCACTGAGCACATGATCTGCTTCTACCTTAGAGACGTAGCACTGGCTATTCCCCGTATATCTTTAAGGCTAACAACTTCACATACTTCAAGGATTTGTTCATGTCACTTTCTTAATGGTCCTAAACATCCTACTTAAAATTGCAATCCATCCCACCCCTGGTACTTCCAACCTTCTTTATTCTTCTTGTTTTTCTTGCTTCCATAGTACATAAAACCTATGTATGTATGTTTAATGTTTATTTATTTAGTTTGTCTTCCGCTTTAGAATGCAAATTATATAAGGACAAGAATTTTTGTTTTCTTCACTGATATATTCCAAAAAAAACAAAAACAAAAACAAAACCCATTGCTGTCGAGTCGATTCCAACTCATAGCAACCCTATAGGACAGAGTAGAACTGCCCCATAGGGTTTCCAAGGAGCAGCTGGTGGATTTAAATGGTTGATCTTTTGGTTAGCAGCCAACTCTTAACCACTGCGCCACCAGGGCTCCAAGTGTCTAGAATACTGTCTAGTACGTAACAGGTGCTCAAACTACGTATTTGATAAATGAAGGAAATCTCTGAGGCCATCCCCATATTAAGATATCAGTACACCCTCTTTAAGCCTTGATTTTCTAAGTTTATATCTGGCAATTCAGTTTCATATGGGACTGAAGTTTCACATTATATACTGAGATTGGATTTTTTACCCAATTTAAACTAAGTATGTTCAGCTATGTGAAGTACTACAAGCGCAATTAAAAAACAAAACAAAACTCTTCAGATACATGACACTATGTTTTATAATTGTATAAATCATTAAGGTCTTATATTCATTGGGGAAATTTAACTTGTCAGGTAGTTTATGGTTTTCTTTTTGTATGTGGTGTTAAGTGCAAAAAAAAGGTGCTAAATACATAATGGAGTATAATTTTGCTTCTGTTGAAAGGGAGCTCAAATAATCAGCTTGCTGTAGTCAACAAACAAAAGAAGAATAAACTTAAAAAAAGTTTAACAACAAATTATTAAAACCATTTAGGATGTAAGTTTTTTTGTTTTAGGAACCGCTCTGTATCTTTGGAGTAATTTTTGCAATCTCACGTATTCAGTCTGGTTTAGGATTTCAATACCTTATCTTTGGATTTCTCTACTAGTCTCATGGATAGTTCTCCCTCTTGAACCAGGAAAGCTGGTGGCATTGCCAGCTTAAGTGGTAGTGTCAAGGTAGAGGAATGTCTGGAGGCAGACCCAGTCTAAGAGCGGCTACTAACTGCCCTTGAAGAGGACACCAACTGTCAATATTAGGAAGAAATATTAACTTATGAGATTCAAAGTGTGAGTGTGAAGTTAGAACTATAAGGCAAGACAAGATCAGAGCCAATGTACCGGAAACAGGTCAGAAAACTAAGGACAAGATGCGTAACATGGCAGAGAATTTTATTCACCATAAATAAATCCAAGAAGACTTCTCTTAAGAAAAGCAGAATGAGAAAATTACATTCTTGATGGGTTCCTCTGTGCTTCTGTTGCCAGGGAGTGAGGGAAGGACAAAGAACACAGAGCTGATGGATCCTCCAGCCATCCTAGAGCAGCCCACTGCAGCTGCCAGGCAAAACAGATGTCTTGATGACTACTCCCCATGGGGAAGTACAACAGAGATATGAGAAAAACCAAAAAACCAAACCCACTGCCATTAAGTTGATTCCAACCCATAGCAGCCCTATAGGACAGAGTAGAACTGCCCCACAGGGTTTCAAAGGCTGTAACTCTTTACAGAAGGAGATGGCCACATCTTTCTCCCACAGAGTGGCTGGTGGGTTCGAATCACCAACCTTTGGGTAAGCAGCCAAGCGCTTTAACCACTGTGCCACCAGGACTCCTGATATGAGAGAACTGGAGGGATAATTCAGATCCCCTTTAGTATTTTTTGAGAGATACAAGTTGTCAAGCCCCAACTGGGAAGTTAGATGGTAAAGTCTCAAATTGTTAGCCTTAGGGAATGTTCCATGGGGAATTTTCAAAAGTATATTTACTGTTCTCACAAAACTTACAGTCTAACCATAAACACAAGAAACGTCTGCAGGAAAAGTTAAGATCACCTGCCGACCATTTAAGTTTTGCCACTTTTCAGTTTCTTGGAAAACTGGAAAGAAATAAAACTTTCTCCAAAACTGTATCTAAACTCACTGGCAGAGGAAGTCTGTGGGGATCAATCTCACACACAAAAAAACTAATATTACATAACCAGTTTATACAACATCAACTTGTACTTGTGATTCCCATAAAATATATTTATTCAATAAATATTTATTGAGCATCTATTAAGTGCCAGGTGCTCTTCTAGACATTAAGGAAACTGAAACAAATAAAACAATGGATCTATCCTCGTAGAATTTACATGCCAATAGAAGATAATGTTTGCATTCATCATTCTCTTCCTACTAGAAGAAAACTTACTGGTATTTTTAATTAGTCCCTTACAGTGAGTTTCTTAAAGCTAATAATCCATCAGAGTCTGGTGATAAGCACCCCTCCTCTATCCCACTGAATCAGAATCCAGGGGAAGGAGCTAGGAAATCTATATTTTTAACAAGCTCTCAGGTACTTTAGATGCATTCATTCATATTATGGATCATTTAGGAGAATCACTGCCTTAGCGCATAATGCCTGAGCAATTAGTGACTTTCACTGGCCTGTATCTGTGGGATCCCTTTTGATTATGATGACTCACCTTTATCAAGCTTCTCATCCTTGAAAAATATAAAAGCTCTCTAGAGATGTCCACAGCCAGGTCACCTAACAGACTAACAAGGCAAACTTTTTAAAGAAGTATACTACTCAGTTTTAAACAAAATGGTAATCTCCATCATTATAGGGGGTAGATGTTAAACTTGCTTTGCTTTGAAGAAGAAAAGAATGAAGCATGAATTACTAATCATGGTGCACAGAACAGTACATAGAAGCAAAAGATTCACTCGACAGGTAAAGCTGAGAAAATGGAGATTTAGAAAGGTTTCTCATCAAAGAGGTAAAACTTACTGAATCTCAGAAACCACTGTGTACAATATGAAAAGGTTTTCATTGAGGTAGTTCTTTGTGAGTTAATGACAGTAGAGTTAATGACAGTATAGTCCGTATTCAATACTAACCAACATGCAATACTAGCTTGGGAAAAAAAATGCAATAAGGTTAATATTTAAAAAAAAAAAAAAAACAGCTAACACAGGCTTATTATGTGACACACACCACTGTAAGGACTTTACAGATATTAAGATGATTGAATCCTCAAAGCGTGTTTCTGAAGTAAATTTTAATTATCATGCCCATTTTGCAGATGAGAAAACTCAGGCACAGAGAAGATAAGTAAGCAGTAGCCAGGATTTGAACCTAGGTTCCCGTGTGTGTTTTTAACCACTAGGCTAACCTATCTCTCCTTAGTTTTATACTTCTTTAAGTACCTCAGACCAAAGAAGCTTATGCAAACCTATTCTAGGAAGAAGGAATTTGTTGATTAGTGCTTCCCTGTCCCAATCCCTTAATCAGCTTAATTTCCACTTGATTCATTTTAAATATGAAAGTTAACCATGTTGTTGACCAGTATCATCTAGTGGTTAGTGGTTTGGGCATAAGAGATTGTGGTTCTGAATCTCAGCCTCACCACTTGCATGTTATATGACCTTTATTGAGTTACCTCTCCAAGTCTCAGTTTCCTCACCTTTAAAATGGAGGTTATAATGGAACACGCATCACACTATTGTTTAAAGACAAAACAAGATAGCCCATTTAAAGCATATACAAAGCACTCAAAAAATAGTGTAATAAATAGCAGCATCAGTAAACTAGAATCAAATGATCACTTGCTCTTTCTACTAATGCTAAGAATGGCTTATTTCTCTTCTAATTAAAAAAAAAAAAAAAAAAGCAACCAAAACAACAACAAACCAAGACATAAACCATAAAACCAATCATACTTTTTGTGGGAAAACCAGAAAGGCTATTAGATCCATTAATTCAGATCTTCTCTCTTCCAAAATATATGTGTCCTAGCATCCTAAGACACCTTGCATAATATAATGACTGTGACTCCAAGAGGTCAAATGGGCACCAGTTAACGCTGCTCTGTGAAAAGCTCGATAATTCATTTTGTAAATTTCAGTTCAAAGCCTACACTGAGGTTAAGAAAAATTGACATACAGTCTGTGAACTTAATGTCAAGCTCCAGAAAAACTCTGAGCAGCACATGTTTAGCGATTAAGTGTGCGCGGACAATAAAGACATTGCCAAATTGTAAAACAGGACTTGGAAATTACAGAAAATGTTGCTAGTTATTGATTACGGCGACCATTCAGTTCCTACTGAGCCACCCAAAAGAATCATTCATTTTCCAGCAGAGAGCCTGCTCATTTGCAAGATAAAAGAGAGACATTTCTGCACATGCCCATAATGTTCTTCGCCACTGGGGGCAGCTTTACATAAGACTGCATTCACTGAAACCAAAGCAATAGTCCTAGCAGCTTTCAGAATGCCAGTCTGCAGAAGTGAGCTGAGTGTTTGCGCGGTACAGGGCTCTCCTGCCTTCTGGGCTCCAACGCAGCTCTGTGGCTGAACTGGGAGCTCCCCACAAGAACTGCTGGGCTATGGGATACAGATGTGGCAGCTCAGGTAGCCCTACGTTACCTGGAGGAATACATCATGCTTTCCGATAAGAAGACGTTGTAGAAGCCAGTTTTTTTTTTTTTATTCTCCCCCACCCCCCCCCCCCAAAAAAAAAAAAAAACTAAAGATGCAAAAACGTAACATCCATGAAGATCCTATTACCTAGGAAGATTTTGATGTTTTGCTGTGAATGCCGTGTTGGGATTTATTTGTTCTTGGAGTGTTCTGCGTGGCTGGCAAAGAATAATGTTCCAAAATTGGTCCATCTCCCAAGGGGTCCAGTTTTTCTTCCTGGGTGTCATCGAGCCCTGACTCACTACAGTGCAGCTGACAGGGGCTGTCATGCAAGTGGTCCCCTAAGCCAAAGCAAAAGACCTAAGGACGACCTTTGAACACTACAAAGGATGGGTATGTTTTCTCATTTTTCTTATTTCATTCTTTTAAAAAAAAAAATCTCTTGTCTATGTATTAATTTTGCCTTAATTATTTTAGAGATTACCTTGCTCTCCTCTAAGGCTATAAATTCAATTGTTTAGTGGACACATTTCCTTGCTTAACTATTAAAAAAAAAAAACCCTACAATTATCTTTAAATCACATCAAGATCATATTAGATGTTAAATGTTCTCCAGATTTAATTTTTTTTAATGAAAACAGATGCCTATTTTTGCTTGATTAAAAACGAATGGAATTCTTTTTTTGGGGGGATAACTTTTCTAAGTTGTTTTTATTTCCAGGTTTCAATGTAATTAGGCTACTGAGCGGATCAGCTGTAGCACTGGTTATAGCCCCCACTGTCTTACTGACAATGCTTTCTTCTGCTGAACGAGGATGCCCTAAGGGCTGCAGGTGTGAAGGCAAAATGGTATATTGTGAATCTCAGAAATTACAGGAGATACCCTCAAGCATATCTGCGGGTTGCTTAGGTCTGTCCCTTCGCTATAACAGCCTTCAGAAACTGAAGTATAATCAATTCAAAGGGCTCAACCAGCTCACCTGGCTGTACCTTGACCATAACCATATCAGCAATATCGACGAGAATGCTTTCAATGGAATACGCAGACTCAAAGAGTTGATTCTGAGTTCCAACAGAATCTCCTATTTTCTTAACAATACCTTCAGACCTGTGACAAATTTAAGGAACTTGGACCTGTCCTACAATCAGCTGCATTCTCTGGGATCCGAACAGTTTCGGGGCTTGCGGAAACTGCTGAGTTTACATTTGCGGTCTAACTCCCTGAGAACCATCCCCGTGCGAATATTCCAAGACTGCCGCAACCTGGAACTTTTGGACCTGGGTTATAACCGGATCCGAAGTTTAGCCAGGAATGTCTTTGCTGGCATGATCAGACTCAAAGAACTTCACCTGGAGCACAATCAGTTTTCCAAGCTCAACCTGGCCCTTTTTCCAAGGTTGGTGAGCCTACAGAACCTTTACTTACAGTGGAATAAAATCAGTGTCATAGGACAAACCATGTCATGGACCTGGAGCTCCTTACAAAGGCTTGATTTATCGGGCAATGAGATCGAAGCTTTCAGTGGACCTAGTGTTTTCCAGTGTGTCCCCAATCTGCAGCGCCTCAACCTGGATTCCAACAAGCTGACATTTATTGGTCAAGAGATTCTGGATTCTTGGATATCCCTCAATGACATCAGTCTTGCCGGGAATATATGGGAATGCAGCAGAAACATTTGTTCCCTGGTAAACTGGCTGAAAAGTTTTAAAGGTCTGAGGGAGAATACAATTATCTGTGCCAGTCCCAAAGAGCTGCAAGGAGTAAATGTAATTGATGCAGTGAAGAACTATAGCATCTGTGGCAAAAGTACCACGGAGAGGTTTGATCTGGCCAGGGCACTCCCAAAGCCCACGTTTAAGCCCAAGCTCCCCAGACCGAAGCACGAGAGCAAGCTCCCCTTGCCCCCCAGGGTGGCAGCCACGGAGCCCGGGCCAGAGACCGATGCTGACACGGAGCACATCTCCTTCCATAAAATCATCGCGGGCAGCGTGGCCCTTTTCCTCTCTGTGCTCGTCATCCTGCTCGTTATCTACGTGTCATGGAAGCGGTACCCTGCGAGCATGAAGCAGCTGCAGCAACGTTCCCTCATGCGAAGGCACAGGAAAAAGAAAAGACAGTCCCTAAAGCAAATGACTCCCAGCACCCAGGAATTTTATGTAGATTACAAACCCACCAACACGGAGACCAGCGAGATGCTGCTGAATGGGACGGGACCCTGCACCTATAACAAATCAGGCTCCAGGGAGTGTGAGGTATGAACCGTTGTGATAAAAGCGCTCTTAAAAGCTGGGAAATAAGTGATGCTTTATTGAACTCTGGTGACTATAAAGGGAACGTGGTGCCCCCTCTCCCTTCCCTCTTCCCCTCACTTTGCTGGCAAGGTCCTCCTCTGTCAGTTTTAGCACATTCATAATACTGGTCATTTTCCTCTCATACATAATCAACCCATTGAAATTTAAATACCACAATCAATGTGAAGCTTGAACTCTGGTTTATAATAGAATGCCTATTGTATAAGACCCTTTATTGATTCCATTAATGTCACACTTGTTTTAAGATAAAACTTCTTTCATAAGTAATGCCCCACATCTGCAGTTATTCTCCTGGTGGGACAAAATCTACAGTTCCAGAAGGTTTGCAGTTCATTGGGAAATCAAGGAAAAAGTGAATGATCCCAGGTACTCAGGAGCTTGAACCATTTTTAGGTGACTTGAGCACAGGAACCTTTACAGACAGAGCCTTAAAACAATGCCTGGCTTAACAAGACAAATGCAGGAAACTATCAAAACGTGGTGCTGGATTAAAGCAGCACCCTGAGCAGTTTCCAGAGGTGTTTGAATTACCATAAGATGAGCCCAGGAGGAAGGGGTTGAAGGGTTAAAATGCTGCAAGTTGACAACTGTGAGGACATGGTAAAAATGCAAAGTTTTAGACTAGAAGTCTCACATCTCTGAAACCAGTCGCTGTAAAATCAGACTAAAGGTTTCACTGTCAATTTCTTCTAGCCTGTACATTTCCAAAAATAAAAAAATACAATAAAATCGCCTGGAGGCAAATTTGAGGAGGCAGATTTCTCTACTGCCCCTCACATTAGAGAGTTTTCAGAAATGAGGGTTGCAAATGAGAAGGTGGCTTGTACATGCCTGTGGTTGGGAGCTCACCAGAATTTCTCTTTCCAGCTCTTTCAAAGACCCTGGTGTGTCAGCAGAATCATTAGCTCTGTCCTGTTCTGTTTGGGATTTGTCAGCCTGTCCTGTTGTGTCCCATTAGGTGCCCTGCACACACCAGTCCCTAATGACTGCCACTTCATTCAGACACTTAAAAAGAACACACTCCAAGACATGCTTTCTACCAGCAGCCTCAGTGAAAAGGGCCACTTTGATAACATCTTAAATAAATGTATAAAATAAATCCTAGAGGGAGAAAAGAGCAACCCTGTGGCAATTGTCTTTTGCTTTTCTATTGCCGACATCACAGTGTCCCCACGTTCATCTGTATTGTGAACTCATTCATCAGTACGATTCTGTACAGGCCCTGTTGGCAGTCTGCAGGCTGCATGCATGTTTTTATGTCATTGGCGAAAGTTTATTGACTGCAGCACAAATATCAGAGCCTCCGTATTTCAGTAAGTTTGACCACAGTCCATTAAGATTTTAGAAGAGTATCTTTAGCCTGCATTGTCTCTCATTCTCCAAAATGAACAATTCTCTTCCAGGAACTGAAATCAGGAATGCAACATTTAGGCTGTTTCAGTGAATTTGGCTTGACACCTTTAACCATGTCCCTGTTCTTTCAAAACAGAATCACTGCAGCAAAAAGGAAAAAGTGAATGGCTATTTTTACCAGCATTTCTTATATAGTTTGGAGACTTTAAATGCGCTGAGAGGAAAAAATCTAGGCAAGTCACTGTGAAATGTAATTGCAAGGAAGCCAGATGATAAAAATCATAGTTATAAGCAATAAAGAAAAAGAGGCATGTAAAGTGAATTTCTCAAGGGTACTTTGATTTTTATTAAATCTTAAAATAGATGCCAGTTCAGAAGAGTATCATTGCTACAGTATCTTTGCCCATGAATACTGGTGAATATACATTTATTAATGGCAAATAGTCACATATCCCCAATTGATTAATAATGCAGATACTTCCTTACAGTACTATGAACTGGGTAACTGAGCCTTCTAAGATGTTTTTCACTGAAGTTGTGATTTCACGTTTTTCATAATATGTCAGTAAATACATATTCCATCTAAAAAAGAAATTATCTTTGGCTAGTCTCATGTTTACTGTACTAAATACGACTACTAATTAAATGCCGTGTTAAAGTGCAAAAGCCCATTTTTATTCTTTGACGACCTTCTACCTCATTTGTGATGGATATCAAATACATTTAGGCAAGACATATTTCTACTTATATTTTTGAATTCTTGCAAATTATCAATGCTGTGGTGCTACTAGTAAATATAAAATGTGCTTGATGTATTAAAAAGCGTTCCTAAAGTTCAAAGCCAGTTGGTGTGTGAGATGCGATAGAAGATTAAATGAATGACCAGCATTTTGAGGGCTGGCCATTTTTTAATGCCTAGCTTTAACTACTTATAAATTTAATAATAAGAAAAACCAAAATAAAAATCTCTTAAATAGAAAATGGTTTTAATTCAGGACATGATATTGCCAGGAAAAAATAATAAAAGATATTTTTGCCCCTTCGGGAAGGAAGCTTCTCTAGTTTCCAGTATCTTCTGAACAACAACATATAATTCTTATAGGTTAGACAATAACTAGTTCCCCACCATAAATTTCACCAAGCCACCTGGTGAATGTTCTGCTCCAAAGTTGTTGCCACCTGCCCACCCCCATGGCACTTTCCAGTCAACGTGCATTAAATCAATTCACACGATTCTTTCAAACTCATTGCGTATTAGAGAAATATAATTGAGATTCAATTTCTCAGTGCAAATTTATGAGAAATATTTGACTTCCTTCAAAGGTGACACCAGTTAAATAAACAGCCTGACCTGTTGAATTATACAACAGAGGCACATCGATGCAGAATGGATTCAGTTAGTACTTTGAATGCTTTACAGAACAGAAAGGAAATCGAGTTTACGCTCTTTGAATTACATGGAGGGTTTTTTTCCCCAGTTTTTATTAGTCCCAGTATGCCACCACAGCATAGAGTTAATAGTCCCAGTGCCACAGTCTTCTAAGCAATGCTTATGCAAGATATATTCCTTTTAAATGAGTTTGTATTTTCCAAGGATGTTGACATTACATCTTTTCAAAGAATTTAAACCATTTTTTACTTGATTTGGTGAGTCAACTACCTCAGTCGACAAACAGGCCATAAGCTGTATTTCTGTGGAGCAGCAGTGACCTCCAGTGGTTGACTAGACAAACTACAGCTATTCATACACATTGTAGCTTTTAATCCTGAAGCCTGACGTAAATGTGATTTACATCATATATTTCTTTATCTGTGCATCCAATTTGAATTCCATTTTGGCCCATTTCCCTGGAAAATATACTTAAAATGTAATTTTTCTAAGTTATATTCTGCATATTGACTTTTTAAAAAATGCCAGAACAGAGGCCACAGGACAGGAATTGAGGGCTAGAAATAAGGGTCCAAATATGAAGAGCAAGAAATAATGTAAAACAATAGATAAGAAGTATCTTAAAGTGTTTATGTGCATCAATGCTGGCCAGATATTCTGAGTTTCATTAAATGGGTTAATATTTTCCATTGACAGGATACTGTAATGCAACTTAGGTTGGGGAAAACAAATTTCAATATTAACATTGACGGGTTCAGCATCCGTTACGCACAGGCTGGTAGGAATATCTGAGCAATCAAGTCAAGGAGGCCTCCCCTTCTGGCTTTAGAACTCTCCAGTTTGCTGATCATGCCAGTGACCTGTGCTTCGCCCCAGTGCTTTCTCCCTCCCTCTCCCTCTTCAGCCAGCTGAACACTGGTTCTATTAGGCTCTCTGACAATGATGTTACAGTCTAAGAGGTGATGATTCATGGATAATGAAATTATGCTCTCCTTCTGGGGAAGGATAATGCAGAGTCAGATTCGTGGATTTGGCACAGGTTTTTAGGATGCTGTAATATGAAGGTCTTCTCTCCCCTAGACATCTACCAAGAAGAGAACTTCAAATATTTTATTTAAAGTGTGGATTAGACTAGCATCAAAAAGAAGCATCAGGCCATGAGGTCTAAGACAAAACGAGTTCCAGATATGACAAATGAGAACTGAGCCAGGAGAAATTAAAAAAAAAAATTGAGAAACTGTGTTGCCTCTTCCATTCCGTTTTCCCTGGGTTCTCATCAGAATCTGGATCTGTCGCAAAGCCATGAGTGTTTTACTACGCGTGTATTCTCTTAGGTACCCATATAGAAAATCAGAGGCAGCTGGGAGACCACTATAAGCAGGAAAAATAACATCAGTAAATTTGAATGATAAATGTTGTTGAGAAAAATAGAATAAATGGAAGTGAAACAGCTTTTGAAAATTCTTGTATTAGATGACTTTGGAAAACTAATAAAAAATAATACATAATTGAAAGTAAGTCTTTCCCTAATCATAATGGTCTACAGAATTAGTCCCACATTTTGCTTGGGCTCCAAAATAATTGGTGGTTTTCTTTAGTTGGATTGTTGGATAGACTACAATAAAATTACTACAGAGAAGATCTAAATAAAAAGAAATAGTTTAAGGTTCTTTTTGACTTAAGGGAAGTATCACATCCATGAATGGTAGAACATAGGTCTTATAATGTAAGACCTAAATTCAAGTTTCTCTGACAATTGCTAATCAAGTGATCTTAGGCAAATTTATTAGCTTTTCTGAACTTAAACTTCCCCATCTGTAAAATGGGTATATATTGTTGAATTCATATAATTATCATGAGGAGCAAGTGTGAAAATTATAAAATTTAAAATAGCAACTAGCTATTCTTTAAAAGAGCACGTAGTGAGGTATTTAACTGTGTGTTTGCTGGTGTTCTGTGTTTGTCCCAGGTCAAAAAGAAATCAGTAGCCTCTATGTTACAGAACTTCAAGCCCATTTTACATTAATATGATTTCTGAGAGTTTTCAGGTAGTCTAGTACTTAATTTTTCTTTGACCCTTGGTTTCCATAAAAACATGGGTTCTTCCACATCGTGTTATCTGTCTAGGATCTTATCAATACTTATCACAATGTGCAATAGATGAAATAAATGAAGACTCCAACCAGAGAACAATGAA